ATTCCTGCTTTCTCCCAGAATCCATTGAGCTGACGGCCAAACCCACCCCCTTCCCAACCACCCACCGCACCACCCCTCCCACCGCTCACGTCAAGATCACCAAACAGCGCCATGGCCACACCACCACCACTACTTCAAGCATTCTCAAGGATCTGGACAGCTTCGTGGTGGAGGCACTGCCTCCACCGAAGGTGGTCGAGGCAGGAAATTACTCCAGCTCTTTCACCACCCACCGCCCCACCACACTCAACAAACCACCCCGCACCTCATCCCCACCCCTGGACTCCAGCCCTGACTTTGACGAATCGGGCAGTGGAGAGCCCAGTGGGGACGACGAGATGGTGAGCGGAATGGAGGAGAGCGGAGAAGAGCCACTTGGTAATGCATTCACCATAATCTTTCAGTCATAAGGGGTTTAGGCACAATTGAGATGATGAAATTCTGGAGTGACCTTGTGTGTGAGATGACCTCGACTCGAATTGTAATGGCATATCAATTTAACACTGCCCATTTTCTCAGCACCCATTATAATTTGAGAGCTTTTGACACATGACATCCAACTGCTAAGTGAGCGGTTTCATTTGGAATCACTTTGGTAAATAATTCACCAAAATGACTAGCTTCAGCTTTTAACGTGGCCTAACCTTATGAGTAAGCCTCTTCTAAAGGCCATTTCAGATGAAGTCGATGCAACCACTGTTCCTTTCTCTCCTTGCATAGTCTGTTTATCAGGAACCGAGCTTAAGACATAGACCCCATGAAATGAATTGAGTTTTCTTTCCTATGTTGATATTTTTGACACATATATATTTTACATTACGTTTTGTTATATCCTATTTATATGTAGTGTAACTATTTTTAATTACTTTTGTAATTTTTATTTAATTTTTTATTATTATTCTCCAGTAAAACTGATCGTGCAGCCCAAACCGTAAGGCCTAGAGTGCTGAAACTTGGTCAGATCGTAGTAGTATTGCTCACTACTCAGATCCAAAGACTCACCCCAAATGGATTAAAGGGAGCACTACAGCACAAAAAACTTTACATCGTTGTAATCCTTGGGTCAAAACAAACGAAACTTCTACCGGAGGATTTGTTCTACAAAGTCCAGTTTTTCTGCAAAATTGAGCTATGTCCAAAACCTACTTTTGCGAACTAGTCCTAGGTTTTTCGCCCGATCAGAACCAAACCACTGCAGAAATATTCTCGGGACAGTGAATATCAATAATTATAAAAAAAAAAAAAAGTTGAAATTTCGATTTTTGCACGCAACAGTACGCAAAAACGTTCTATGATCATTTTAGCCAATTGCTAAATGTAGCTATAACTTTTGAACGGAATTAAATATTTTCGCCAAACTTGGTACATAAGTTATATAAGAAAAACGTACAAATGACTGTAACTTCGCAACCGTTGGTCCGATCGACTTGAAAATTGGTATGCAGTGTCTTGGTCCAAAGTGGCACAAGTGTCTATGAGGACATTTGCGTATCTCAAAAAACATGGCTGCCATTGGCCAAACAATTTAAGCACCTATTTGACAAGGTTAACGGAGGTTGATCAGAACGAAACTTGGTGGATATGTTCAACTCATGGCCCTAAAGGTCTGTAAGAATTTTGAAAGTAATCGGCCACTAGTTGGCGCTGACGAGTTTTATGGCTCTTTAATCATGTGGTGTTTCACACACCCACACAATATTCATATCATTTGATAGATCTCCTCATAATGAGCAACTTTGCCTTCAGAAATATTGCTGTCAATCAAATCGTTCATTAAATATTCACAAATATGTTAAAAACCTACTTTTGCGAACTAGTCCTAGGTTTTTCGCTCAATCTCGATCAAACCACTGCAGTAATATTCTCTGGACTCTCCAGATCAATAATTATCAAAAGAAATATTGAATTTTGTCCTTTAGTTATCTATAACGGGCTCATTTAAAAAAAGGGTGCGTGGCCAAATATACCCAAAAGCCTATAAAACCTCAACAAAAACTCGAAACTTTATTAAACTTGGTGAAACGTGTCAGATGACTCTTAATAAGCATGCAAAGTTTCATGGAGATCGGACTATAGGTGGCACTATAACAGTTAAAAAGGCCTCAAAAACACAATATTCCTATAGCAAATATCCTCAAATATTAATGTCTCTTTATTTATTTTATTAATTTATTAATATTAATTACAAAAAAAAAAGTTCATATATTCACACAAAAACTAGATCTACATATCATATGATATATCTCCTCATTCTGAACAACTTTGCCTCTAGGACCACTGCTGTCAATCCAACTGTTCTTTAAATGGTGATATTATATTATTTAAAAAACCTACTTTTGTGAACTAGTCCTAGGTTTTTAACTCAAAATCAATAAAACCACTGCAGTACAATTCTCTGGACTCTCTAGATCAACAATTATCAAAAAAAAATGTTGAACATTGACATTTGGACAGTTATAAAATGGTCATTTAAAAATTTGGTCCTTATATAGTGTACCTAAGTGCCTATAAATCTTCAAAGAAAACTCCAAACATCACAAAACTATGTAAACTCATGCATTATATGATTCTAAACGATCCTGCAAAATTTTATGGAGATTGGTCAGAAACTGACACTGTAATAGTTATGAAGGTTAAAAACGGTACTTTTCTATGCTCTATTCCCTGAAAGTGCAAATACAACCACTAGATGGCAGCAAAGGATCACTCATTGGCTCATTCTATCACTTATATAGTTCTTTTCTCAGGTTTTGTTAGGTACTGACATTCAGATAGTTTAAAATCATAAATATTACATTTATAATCACATTTAGTCAAAGTTTACCACTTCATGCCACACATCAATTATGCCACACTATGATTACATTTAAACCTGAAAAATATTATAAACAGGACACTTCCTTTAAGCATTTAATTGCCTGTAAGTTATTTCAAATATCTATATCTACAACATAATCTGTGTCTGTGTGTGTGAGCATGCTAAGCCTCTATTAAGTAATAGAGTGTGTCTTAAGTAATATAGTTCAACCTTTTCATTACTCTGTGTGTGTGTGTGTACTCTTTGTGTGTGTCATCATATTCTCCATCATGGAACTGTTCTGGTGTCAGCCATACATTTCACGTTGGCTGAGACCCCTGACAGCATAGAAGTCATGAAGGCCTTTAAGTGCTTGAACCTCGGTAATCACTGCTTGCAGCTATATTTGATTATATTATTGGTTGCATTTTATTATTGCCAGACCAGTTGAGAACCACAGCTAGTTATTTTCTGCCTTTCAAAACCTAACTTTACAGCTCATACCATGGAAGAAAGGAACAAAGACACTTTCAAACTGAATAATTTCCAGCTGCTACCTACAATTTACAAGTATATTAAGTTGGTTATTTAAAAAAAGGTATGATGTTAACAGACTTAAATAATCCTTAGTTGCATTACTTGCCTCTAGCAAAAAATAGCAAGTAGCTAATAATAGGGTAAGCTGCAATTCTGAAATTAATTCTAAAAATTGATCTTGTTTGGCACATTTTGTCATTTTTTTTTTAATGTGGATCTGTTCTTTTTGTCAGCCTTCTGCACACTTCTGCAAACTAATGGACATCGACTCTAAGAGCCACAAAACTCCAATTTTGTTCTCCAATACAGCCGCCTCTAAAATGATAGCCTCTTAGTTGACATACAAGTGACAAATCCCTCAATCCCTTTACTTGTTTTGTGTCCTTCACACCACGATACATAAAGTAGACCTGCTATTTTTATTCAGCTAATGCTAGCTTTACTGTTTAACTGCCTGAACTGGTATAAGAGAGAGCAGCGGGACCTCAGATTTATTCTCTTGTCACTGTTGGACCGAAGCGCTCTTTGACACAGGACACATGAAGTCTGTCTGACATCGGAGTGGGAGGCATCTCTTGGGACTTTCTGATGACTTTCTGCCTCCCAGTGAACCAATAGCCTGTAAGGCTGAAGCAGTGTGGCGGCCAGCGTGCACCTCAGGGGCAGCGGCTCATAAATTTGCCCACAGACGCGATGAAAAGACGTCCAGGGATGCTTTCCAGCTCTACGCCAAAAGTCATTTTCCACCACTCACTATTTTCACACGCTGCCTCTCTCATACTCACAGAGCCCTTGAACATCTGATGGGTTTATGGCTTGTTTGCCAAGCAGGAGATATTTTGCTCCAACCCACAGTGCTAATCTTCTGTATATATCCTTGTAGGTGTGAGGCTGGCTCTATAGCTAAGACAGTTTTAACAAGCTATTGTTAGGGTTTGACTAAATGTGAGTTTAAAAGTAGGAATGCATCAAGAAAGATGTAAAAGTCATTTCGCAGCTACTCGCAGATTGTTTACTGCAAATCAAACAGTCAACCATAGAGCCTTCTGCCTCTGTAATTATTTACACCATAATTTTCCTTCTCCACAACTTGACATGTTAATTTTTTTTTGCAATTATACAAACAGAGATATCAGTTTAAACTAGTTGCTGCCTAGAACCATCAAATTCTAGAAATCCTGCTCGTGTGACGTCTTCATCTCTCTCTTCAGGTACAACAGTAGCAACTACCACTCTTCCCACAGCCGAAGAACGGTCTTCCTGTGACAACACACCTTTCGGCTGCTGTCCTGATGGGAAGACGGCCGCCATCAGCTCTAAGAATACAAACTGCCCCTGTAAGTTCCCGCCAATCACAGCACGGGTTCGTTTATTAACTGTATGACCAGCTCTATGACTAAGCCACCAACAGCGATTATTCTTTTTATCCTGGAAGACTGAGAGGATGATGAGGAGGAGGGGGCCAGAGTTGTTAATGACAGGGGAAACTACTGTCTATGAGCATGTATTATCTTAGACATGCCATATGGATGTTGATTTTGTGTGCCCAGGGTCCAAAATTAGTACTTGTCACACGCCAAATGCTTGTAAAAATGGCCTGTTACTCACCAGTTGGCAGGTGACTTTATCAGGAACTGTATAATACATTGTTGAATTGAATTTTGTGTGTATGTACAGAATACTTATACTGTAGGTTTAATTTTAAGCAGCCATCACTCCAGTATTCGGTGTTACATGATCCTTCAGAAATCATTTGAATATGCTGATTTGGTGCTCAAGAAACATTATTGTTGAAAACAGTAGTGCTGCTTAATATTTTTGTGGAAACCTTTTTTTTTTTCTTTTGTAACAAACATTTTACTGATGAATTTATTTTATCTTGACTCAATAGTTAATATTAATTACTTCTTTCAAAAATGAAAAAAATCTTACAAAGCACAAACACAGTTAATTTTGGACCCTGAGTATGCCAGATGCAGGGGAGCAGGTTCAGTGTCAGTAGCCATAGCAAATGGATAAACCAATTCTCCAAAATGTGTTCTGACTAGCATTAGACCAGATGCGTCCATACACACACAACCCTATTTCTCGCACCAGCCCCATCTGTTTTATAAGAGCAGAAATTACACACAATGGAGACTAATCAATACAGGACAGACAGCCAGTAGCAGGCAGATGTTTTGTGTTCTCTGTATGGGAACACTAGGTCAAGTGCTCACGTCTCTTCTCATATCTGTCAGCTGGGTCTCGTAACTCCCCACCGTTTATTGGAGATGTGTCACAGCGGCCGGGAGCGAGGGCCCTAATGTCCATTGCGTTCAGTCTCTGCTGTCAGCTCGAGCTTTCCCCATGTCTCTCAAGCACTAAGGAGAACTCCCCCTCGTATCAAACTGTTTTATTGAAAGGCTGAAAACAGTAAACAGTGCAGTTTACCCCCTGCTGCCTGAATGCGATGTTATCCAGTTTCCCAGTCCTCAGAATATAAACTGTAATTATAAAAAAAAAAATCAATTATCGATTTCTTTCTTTCTATATATAT